CTAGTTTTTTAATAAAATTAATAATAAATAAATATTTACATTATACATTATGTCTTGTATTTTATGATTTTTTTTTACATGTTTTATTTTTTACTTATTATTTTCTTTGTATAATATCAAAAGTAAACTCAAAAAATAACTTAATGAACCTACTAATAAATAAAATAAACTTTAAAAAAAATGAAAATCTTTTACAGTTATATAAAAAAAACTTTATTTGAAAAAAATATCATTACCTTTTTTAAAACAAAAAGATTTGGCTAATAAAATATAATATTAGTAAAGGCATAATAAGTAATATTTTAAAGAAGAAATGTCATTTATTTTGTGTAAATACTAATTCATACTAAGCCAATTAAAATGTAATAAGAAACTTTATTTTCTCTCATCAAAAAAGTATTAGCAATTTGAGTAAATAATATACTTAAAACTTATCTTATTATTACTAACAATATTCTTTTAACTAAAATTTTGTATTTTGCTTCTTTTATTAAAGAATGATAAGTTTAAAGAGTCTAGTAGTTAGGTAAACAACTTTAAAAAATAATATAATCTTAAATAGTATCATATATACAAGGAAGTTGTAAGTATACTATTTGAAGATCTCAAAATAATATGAGAGAATCTTTAAAAAATATTAAAAGATTATAATCCTGAAAATATATTCAATTGTGATGAAACAGAATTATTTTAAATGATAAAATCATATCAAATGATATTTAACAAATAAATATTAGGAATAAAATGATCAAAGGATTGTATAATAATTAAGATTACTAGATAAAACCTAGAAGTTTTGCAAGTCGTCTAAATGGAAAAAAGTAAAATTTAGTAAAATTATATTAAAATCTTATTAAAAAATCTGCAAAATTCTGAAAAAGGTAAAATTATATCAAAGCTTATAAAAATACAAAACTATATCAAAACCTTAATAAAAATTTAGCAAAACTATAATTTAGATATTTTACTAAATCTAAAATGAATTTAGACAAGCAACCTTAATAATAATTCTACTCATATATAATACAATGGAAAGTAAAAAGCTGACACCTTTGTTCATATATAAGTATGAAAATCCTAAAGTTATTAAAACATTAATAAAAAAATATTTCTAATTAAATATTATTAAAACTAAAAAAATTGGATGCAGGTTTCAATCTAAAATGAGTATATAAAAAAATTTGATATAAAAATAAGAAAACAAAACTGAAATATTCTTCTTCTTGTAGATAATGCTCTAATACTTATTCTTTATAAAACTACCTGTTTAATTAATATCACTATTTAATTCTTTCTCTTAAATACTAATATACACCTTCAATCTTATGATCAATATATCATAAATAGTTTTAAGGTAAAAAATGTAATTGATTTAATAATTCTTTAGTTAAAATATAATTGACATTATTATATTTTATATTTAATTCTAATTCAATTTATTTTAGGCATAATATCAAAAGCTATATTTATAAATCAAATCAAAACTTTTAATAAATTTAATAAATATAGTATTGAACCTTTGAAATTAATATTAAAAAGTACATAAAATACATTTTACAAACATGAGATAATATTACAAATAAAAACAATTGAAAATTATTAAGTAAAAGTAAATATTTTACCTAATAATAATTATGAAAATGAAGATAAAACTAGTATTGATATATTACTTGAACTTAAATAATTAAAGAAAATATAAGAAGTTCAAATATTAATTGATAAATTAGATTTTGATAATCCTTTTTCTACTGAAGAATTTATTAAGTATGATAAGTTTAAGACTATAGGAAAAATAATATCTGATTAAGAAATTTTAAAAGCAATTTATCTAATTAAGAAAATGAAAAGAGAAAGATTCTTTATCATTAATAATTACTTTTGGAAAATTATTGAGGCTTATAATAAAGTACTTTTATATTTGAAATAATAAGAAAAAACTTTTGATATGAAAAAAGAAAAGTTAAAATTTATTAAAAAGTTTAGAAAAGAAACTTTAAAATAATATTTTATTTCTTCAAAATAAATTAATCTCAATAACTTTATTATTATAATTAAATAGTAATTTAGAGGGTTATGTAATAATGTTTAATAATATTTATAGTTTATTTTTCTTACTTTTTACAGAATAAAATAACATTATAGTTATAAAAAATTTTTGATGTAATCTCTCTCTTTCTCTTTTTTGATTAAATAATATCACTATGATCGTGTTAAAATTTTGTTAAAATTTTATTGAAAAATCACATTATTTTTATTAATTTTTAACCAATTTTTTGTTGAATTTGTGTTGAAATTACTTATTGATTTTTTACTAAATTGTGACAAATAATTTTGTAATAATTTTTATTTATCACTAAGGTGATAATTTGTTATTGTAAATCTACTTTAATTGTCTGATATATTATATTTAGTAAATTTGACAAAATTATTTTTAAGTTAATCAAATTTTTATAAATAATACAGAAGTATTCGCACACCCTCTATAACATGAATTAATGCTAGTAAAGTCATATAATCACAATAACTAATTATATTTATATTATAAAAATAAAAAGAATAACAATTTATTTTTTTTTAATAAATTTTTTTTTTCTGAAAATCTAAAAAATTGTAAAAATTAAAGAATTAACTGCAATGATTTTTTAAGCAAAAAATAATCTTTATATATTATCTTAGCCAGCTTAAAGTTCTGATCTTAATCCAATTAAGAATCTTTAGGCTAAAGTCAAAAAAAACATCTGAGCTTATAAAAAATCTCTATCTAATTTAACTGATATGTTAAAAAGACTTGACAAGAAATTCTGAAGCATATTATCAAAATTTAGTCAATAGTATGTCACAATAAATTCAAGCTATGATTATAGTAAATAGTAGTACAATTAAATACTAGTTACTTAATACAAAATATAGATCTTAATCAGCTTTAAATAAAATATTAATTGACCGTTTATTGTTAATGTAAAAAAATTATAAATTTTATATTAAGTGAAAAAGTGTGCAGATACTTTTGTCCACCCTCTGTATTTATGAAACTGATTATCTATTACTATTTAAGTCAAAAATATAATTATGATATTTCTTTATTGTATCGTAAAGTCTCAACCTCTATTTTTTTTTAGTTTAAAGAGAATCTTCATTTGAAATTAGTGTGTACTAACCCTTGTAATAATATATGGTTTTTATTTTTTAGACCTTAAATTTATCATTTATGCTTATATGTCCCTTCACTTAATTTATTTAATATGGGTTTAAAGAATATTTAGTCAGTCAGATTTCAACCATTTTCTTTAGACCAATATTGAGATGAAAGAAAATAATTATCATAAACTTTGATCACCTTTTAAAAACCTTTTTAGCAGAATACGCTTTCAGATAAAGGAAAATATTTTTAATTAGGTGAGTATAGGATGAGGCTTTGGATTTTAAATATTAAGGAATCAGATGAAGCAATTAATGTATTTAACTTCAGATTTATTTCTGCTACTATTTATTAATATCACAAATATATAATTAATCGATTGGTCTGATTAATTGTTTTTTCTTTATTATATAATACTGAATATACTTCAAGAACAATTCAGATTTACATCAAGAATCTAATCTGAATTTTCCAATTCTGACAAACTCTGTCTACGTAATTCTGATCCAAAATTGATTGAGAGAAGTGTCATATTGAAAACGCATGAATTTTATTAATAATTAATGAGTTAAATATATTCAAGATATTTAGCTATTAGGAAAATCTGCATAATTAGAAAACTATTTGTAAAGGGAACATAGTTAGTAATTGAAAAATTACAAAAAAATGATGTAAAAGTGATATTATATTAAAATAATGAAATAAAAAATAATTTTCATTCCTTGTTAAAAAATAATTCTCATTAAATATAAAGTCCTCAATTTCATTCTTTATAATAAAATAAATTTAATTTATTTAAATTAAAAAATATCAATCTTATTTTGTTATACAAATTTTGTATGTATACATATTTTTGCCTTTAAATAAATTACACTTACATATTTATGACAATTAAGTTTCTGCAAAAAATAATAATTTAAAACAAAATAAATGATTCTGAATTTACTTACATGGATTTTGAGGAATGCAGCACTAATGCTTCTGAAAAAAATAATAAAGAACATCTTGATCAAATTGTTCTTGCAAGTGCTCGAGCCTTATTAAATAATGATAATAAAAATGATGATATAAATTGAAGCGAAGTTGAACCTGAAGATTCTGACTCTTGTAGCAATTTCTTTCAAACAATACATAATAATATAAATGTAGAAATTGAAAGGACCTTCACGCAAGGCATAAATTTAACAGCATATGTAATTATAGATACTATTTAAAGTAAAATAAAATGTTATAATGGTATAGTAAACTAATGGCGATTGGAGCAAATAGTAGGGATATGAGAGATAGACGCAGATGCAGTTAAAGATATTAAGAGTAATCTTCATCAGCTTGGGGTATGTTATTCTCATTTTCTTTTTGATCAGAACCAGCTTCATGATAAAGGCACGAAACAATCATGTTTAATTGAGCAGAGCATTATCTATTTTTGTTTTTGCATTTTCTGTAATAAAAAAAAAATGTTTCTTTAGCCATATTAATAGTTGCAAAAAGCATTTATAGAGTATTAATGGCATAATATTCAAGTACCTTATATTAGTATTCATAACTGTTCTGCATTTATCGAAGGATCTATCATAAAAAAATTATCTTCAGACTATCGTACACGTTATATTTATTTAGAATGCTTTTAAAATCAGGTAGACATTTATATGAAAGACCAGATAAAGGCCAAAAAAATATATTGTATACTAAATGTGAAAAATATTGTGATGATGCAAGTAACATTCTAAAGCATATCAGAAGATAGATAATATCAGTAGCAGAATCAAATGATAATAAGTTACAAGAAAGACTTCTATCTTTGATAACCTCAGCATTAGCTATTTTTAACAATAGAACTATGAATAAAAGCTCATCAAAAATGGAAGTGACGAAATTTCCAAGCAAGTTATTTGTTAGAACAGCAATGAGAATAGAAAAAGTTAAATTGAATAGATTAACAGAAAGGCTTTATATGATAACTTCAAAAAAGGTTTTGATGATGGGAGAAAAATTAGAAAGAGAAATTTTATCTTTGTGTTCTGAAATTCAGCAAAATATCAGTCAATTAGAAAATCCAAGTTCATATGAAAACTATTTTGAAGCATTACCTAAAATCATTTGTGATTTCTTTCAAGCTCTCATCACAGTATTACAATAATGAAAATAAAATATTATTAATAAAAAAAGACTTCAACGTGAACTTTTCTCAAAATCGCTTAATACAAGTCAAATATCAAAAACTACTACTTTATTGACCTCTATGTTACTAACCATTGCTTTCTCTAGAGTGAAAATTTGACTTTCACACATCATATCATCAATGTGTCAAAAACTAAAATTCTGCTATACTTACGAGAGATTCTTCATTTAGTTTGTATCATATCTTATACTAAAAGGCATAAAAATCATCTTGAAAAACTTAGAATGTATCATACAGACCCTAGAGAGAATTTAATCAAGGGATCAAATATTTGAAATTTAACAGTAATTGACAATATTGATTTTAAAGCTTCTATATTCTCGTATAGCAATATTTTTGATATTACGTGACAAACTTCATATGCAACATTACAAATAGTATTTCAGTTCACTCTTTCTACTTTTTTGATGACTTAATTGAAGACCATAAATTCGTTAATCAACCACTATTTGGGGAGTCTCTAACTACTAATAACCTTTTAATAATATATAAAAATATTTTGAAAATATTGTTAGAAACTCATGTAAATGAATTCGATATGGAAGATGTACATTCAGAAATCATCAAAAAAATACCTATAGGTTATAATACTTTATTACTACCAAATGTCGTGATATTGGAATCTGGCGATCTACCTAACTGCAATGATAATATTCATGCAACATGTTGTCAACAAAGCAATTAACCAGTCATAATGAAATTACGTGAATGATGCAGTATAACGATCTCTTAATCCAGAATTCTGAAAATACTGAGAATTCTGCGAATTTTGAAAATACGGAGAATCTTGTAATTCTGAAGATCTTCTAAATACTGATGATAATTCTAATTCTATGAATTAAATGAAGTCTAAGAATATTTAGTGTTATATGTATTTTTAATATTCTAAATTTTATTGTTATTTTTATTTTAT